TCAAATGGTGAAAGAGGGTTTATATGGAATTAAACAGAACGAATAAACAAAGTCTGAGGCGAATAAAGTTAAGGATCGCACAGTCGACGCAACATTTCATGCATATTCTATCACTTCCATTGTTTTTATTCATAAAAGTTATAATATAGCTAATGTCAAAAGTTCATATCAGATATTTTCAGTATTTTTTTAAAACCTTTGTTCGTTCGTTTGTTTCATGTTTGTTTGTATTTTATACAACTATCCTCCGAAGGAGAGGTCACAGAATAGTGGTGGATAAAAAAGTAGTATATTCCTAGCGCTAGGCACCGTTATGCCTGTCCCGAATAAAAGTCCCGATTTTGAGCAACTTTTGCCTTTCTGAGCAATTTTTGAGCAAATTATAGGTTAAGGGCACATATCAAGCACGAAAAAAAATCAACTGTTTCATAGAAAACTTCAAGTTATGCGAATTTCTGAGTGTTTACCAACCTATAAAAGGTAAGCCGGAAAAGGAAAAAATAATTGCACATTTCGAGCTTGGGCTGCGTGTGGTAAGCATTTTTCCAGCATTTTACAAGCACAATACGGGCACCGTCGACCCCGACGGGGATATTAATGTTTTAGTATTTACAGTATCAGATAGATAAAAATGAAAAGGTAATGTTTTGAAAAAAAGAGGTCAGTTATTAACAAGGCTTTTTTATGTTTTTTAGAACTCAAACAATTAAAATTGACAATATTACAGATATTTCGGTTTTTTTTGTCTGGTAAACTTTTATGATTCATAAGAGAAATACTTTTCTACCTACAAGAAAACACCGAAAAGTCCTATTTTTTCCTCTTTCTTGGTATCTGTTCATTGGAACCGCTGCTTCATTTATCGATTAAATTCAGTCGGCTTCCGAAACTTTAGCGAAACGAGGCGCTAATTTGTCTTCGGTCCCAAAACCAGCATAAGTACAGCTTTAGAGCCAACTTAAAGACACCTCAATCCGAAACTCAGTCTGGGTTCTCACGTGTTAGGGGGCAATCGCGTAGTTAAATGTGCTTTAAATCCCGACTTTGGCCGAGGTAAATTCCGCATGCACCCCAAGGATGTGTGGGGAGGTGGGGGGGGGGGGGGAAGGGGATGTCAATTGACTGATGTGTACGGTAACTACTCTTCGCGAATTAATACACCGCTCGACACTAACCTTTTTAGTGTACAGACTTAACTTTTGACTATAAGGTAGTTCGTCTGTTTAAAGGGGCTTTTTCAGGAGGATTGCTGTTTTTGGTCAGTTCCTGTAGAGTTTTGAAGGAGCCTCCTTTAAATTTCATCTAAGTAATAATAATATTGTTTTGGTGATTTTTGCAAGCATAGGATAAAAACTTGAAAAAGTTTGCCCAATTCATCCTTTTTAAAATTTCAATCCATGTCTATCTTTGCAATTTGTGACGACGGACAACAGAAACAGTTTCAATGCACAAATTGATGAGAAGACACGCTTAAGCTTTTTGAAAAAGATTAAAAATAGTGTCACGCCCCCCTCCCCCCTGCCCCCAGATGGTCCCTGTAAAGCTTGGACTAATCATGATCATGAATTTATTCTGATGCCGGCAATAGGGTTATTAGTCTTGAATTCGAAAATCGCTTATTCTACTAAGAAATTCTGTTTGGGCAAATTCTCAGTCTGCGGTAACAAATGGATGGTTAATGGTAGCCCCACCCCCCCCCAATTCCCGTTTGGCAGGCAGGGTTTTGACCACGATTGCAGTCAAAGAAATGATTCCACAGATTCCAGGTTATGGATTCCATGACGGAAGAGTAATATTCTTGAAAATAATTTTACCACCGTCTGAATGGTTTTGAATTGTAAAACCGTTTGTTCATCTATTCAACAAAACGCACCGTTCCGGTAAACCGTCCCCATTTCCGTATTCGTGTCTAGAAACCTTTAATACTAGGCGATCGTTTATTACTTTTAGTTCTCAAAGGTATGACGTCTGTGTCAGTGCTTAAGAAAAATGCAAAACGACGGAAATCATGATGGTTTTCTTGGAATTCATCTCTAGTTTGTTTTGTGTCAAGTAAGCAGATATTCCTCTTCGATCCTCAATTATGTGAAGTGAAACGCAAACTGTGGGAAATTTCCCTTTTTATCGAATTGTTTCCTTTCGATCTCTTTTGGTTTTATTTTCAACGTATTTTCAGGGGCAAGCAACGCACCGTGTCAGGTGAAGATTTGTAATATTAAGGTATCGTAAACATTTATTATCTTTCTTAGAAGAACATTCACTATAAGATTTCTGGAAGACCGAGGTCGAATTCAGTATGTATTTCCATTGATCCTGAACCAAGAGCCATAATAGGTCACTGTCCTATCATGATCTCTTGTCCTGAACCTATTTTGCGATCATCCTGACATTTCTGCTCGCAGACACTACAGCCGAGCCAAGAACTTTCTCTCTTAGTGATCTTTTAAGCCGCTGCTTGCTTCTTCGTACATAAATCGTCTGGGATAGCGAGCAAGAAATAACTCTTAAAAGAGGTTAGAGTTAAAATAACAATTTCCGGGTCGACGTCGATGGTTTATACCGTAAATTTTGATTTACTGAGTCCATTTTGGACTCAAAACGCCTTCGTCTTTGCTTCAAATAGGCAAAATTTGTAACATTAAACAGCAAAATTGGAGTGTATCTTTAAAGGAGACCTAAAATTGTGGGGTTTTGTGGTGGACATTCTTGGCTTTGAAAACGTCGCCATGTTCTAATCAAGAGATCTAACATCGCAAAGCTTTTGTGATCTCTTAGTGGTTCTGATGCTATCCTCAAGCGCTGCGCTGGCGGCTAAGGACATCGGGCAGTGTAATATCATCACACAGGTCATTCTCTGGAGGTTAACGATAGCTAACGATTATATTACTAGATCGATTGTTAGAAAAAGAAAGTGAGTAGTATTACGCGTATAACTGTTTTCGAAGATCCAATGCCAGTAGCCATTCTACATTCGATTCTATGCGAGAGTTTCGTTGAAAATTTCTATACGTGCACCTTTATTTCAGCAAACTTCGATCAATTCACAATGACGTAGTTGTTTGTTTGTCACAGCGAAACAACTACATTTGTAATTCTTGCCCTTCAAATATTCATTTCGTATTTTGTGGCCGGTTCTTTCGTGGAAAAACACAATTGATTAGCTTGCCTTCTTCTTCTCAGAAACATCGCACAAACGATTTGTTGAGCAAGTTGGCATTGTTTTGCTTTTGTTCAAAACGCCAGCTCTCTCTGTAATATATGGTGCAATGAGTTCATAAGCCAGTGTAGGGATATAAACTCGTTTTTGCGTGTTGCAGACGTCAGTTCCTCAGTGGGTCCATTCTGCATAGTTCAGATAGTTGTTGATGAATACCTAAAGGACCCCGCGGTGTAGTCAATCGATAAAAATCGGTAGCAACCTGAAAGTGATTTTTATCGATTGATAACGCAAATCGGTGAAAATCGACAAACTAAATTGCTGTGTCAAATCGATATTATCGATTTTCATGATTTTAACGATTTATACCCGAAAGTCTGTCATTGTTGTTTATTTGACATGAGTCAGGTAGTACAGCTGAAAAAGCACATTCACGAGTAACAACTGATCCACAAAATGAAAATACCGTAAATGCAGTGTGGAAACTGTTACAATCACAACTTATGTATCTTGTACAGAAGTATCTTCCGATATAAATCGATGAAATGGGTAAAAATCAAGATAAAGCGATAAACGAAACGAGTGTGTCATCGATTTCTACCGATTCGTCAATATCAATCAAATCAGATTTACCGATTTTTTCGATTTATCGATTGACTACTCCGGGGAAAGGAGAGTAAACCATGAATTGTTGTGTTAACGTATGAAACAACAAGTTTGTTTATCCGGCCCCGCAGACTAGATTATGAGTAACATTCCTTATTTGACACATTCCACTCAGATAATTCGGCATCGTGACATTAATATTTGCCTTAAAAACTAGGATTATCATATCATGGCACCTGATACTGTACAAATCACTGTAATTTATCTCATTTAGAGGCTCCTGGTGAGGCAGAAATGTCTGGTTGAGAACAATCCTGAGTGGCCTTTTCGGAGCCCTACAAAAGTGCCGACTGAGACTGCCGAACAATATCTAAAATATCATATGGAACAATGAAAGCGTTATACATTTTATTTTTTAATGCTGTTGGTACTATACTTTGAAAGCGGGAAATCTCGTTTACCGCCCGTATTATTGGCTTTGGTACAAATATTCTTTTAACACATGACTGATAAAATATCAGTTGCTTGTCTGACAATATTCACTTCTAGCAGATCACAGGCTATACTGAGTATATTGATTAAGAAGGAAATCTCAAAGCAACCGGCTTGCTTTGAATTGGCTTTTTTCGACATAAATTCGCCAAATGTAACGATTTTAGCAAAAAAGGTTTTTAAAGTGAGAGGAAGGCAGTTGTCATGTTTTCTGTCACCCCTTTCTGGGGCTTTCCTGGAAAGTTAGCCAGCCGTAATTCCATGGAAAAGAGACACGATATAAGGTGCGCAACAAAAACTAGATTTGGAAGAAAATGGAAAAGAAAGATAGAAAAAGAGCAAGGACGAAGGATCGGACAGATACACCCTGATCTTCCCACATGAAATTAGAAAAAGGGAAGAGATTTCAAGACCGTTTTTACCCCCCATGTAGCAGAAACGCGCTTAACAGAAAAAACACTATACAGGCAGGTACTGTGGAAATAAACTCTTACAGAGCGCGGAGAAAATTTGGGCTCTGCCTCGCTGTAAAAACCAATTAAACGCACGGATGACGAAAAACTTTAAGAAAACTCAACTTCCTGAATAACAGAGAATTGAAAAGCAAAGGCTCGAGTTGTTACTCCTACGAAATTCACAAAAAGGGTTAGCAGCAACACTGAGTTCAGTACATTTCAGTTCAATTAATTCATTTGCTTTGTTTGTTTGTTTAACTCAATGCAGCCAACAATCAAGTTATTCTACAATGGACTCAGCTGACAACGTGCGCTTGCAGTTGTCCACTCACCTTGAAACTATCCGATCAAAAATCGCCAGGGGAATGCTTGTGCTTTTCGTTGGTGAACAAGCTTCAGCGTTAACTTCCCCTGACAATCCCTATCCTTCATTGGATGATTGGTGGCAGGTTATTAACCAGTCAGAGGTAAGAGCTGTTTGAAACTCCGAAATACGGCCCGGGGGTGATCCCTATAATTGCCTATACCAAGAGAGAATGATCTAGATTATTCTCTCTTGCCTATACGTGGAGGCTCCACCCAAAATGGGTACCATTATCAGGCTTCAGGTATTTGAAAGGGTGAGGAAATCTGTCATTTCCTCCTGTAAAAAGACCTAAAAGAGCTAATAGGAGAATGAATTTACGGGTGTGAAAAACGTCGAGACAATTTACTAGTTTAAAAGACAGTGCATTTAAAAGACAGTGCATTTACAGCAGTCTATAAAAGGGATGCAGATTTATGAAAGGGGTACCGTTTGCCAATAGAAGGTTTACGGGGTACCTTAAAAAGGGGTAGCTCTTCTGTAAATAGGTAAGGGATTGAACCACGGGGCGGAGCCTCCCTGTGTAAAGCGTTTGGGAGTACCCTCTGGGGTCCAAACCTAACACTGAATCACAAAAACAAGTACGATCGACGGCGCGAGCCTCGTCTTCTTCACCACCGATCGAAAAATTAAGGGTGACTTGCCCAAAGTTTGAGCAGTTCAAAGAGTATACTGAGATAGTTCCACCTTTTTAAAGCATGTTTGTCGATTCATGATGACTTTCATTATGTGGTTAATAGAGGATGGATGCAATCATCAGTACACAATCCTAACCCTCTTAGTTGGTTGTTTGCTAGGCAGCGTGCAATCCGATTTAAATTTAACGTTAAATTTTGTTGGTTTTAATTATGTGTCAGCCTATTATGTCTATTAGTTTTTTTGTTTCTTAAGTTTTACTGGCGGATTTCATTGTTCATCTTTCCCTAACAGAAAGGCGTCGACACTCTATTTGATCTTGAGGACAAATTCCTGGCAAACATACAGCAAGCGCCTTCACGTGTTCATGATGCGCTGCGGAATGTTGGGAAGTTTCCTGTTATCATAACGACGAACATGGATGACCTGTTAGAGCGCTTCCTTTGGAAGGCTGGGAATGTTGGAGACAAAGTTCGACTTGATCAGGCAAGTGGAAAACAGTTCAGTCTTTTATTGCTGACAATCGCTTGATGACTCAACGAAACGTGAATTTTACATGACGCTACCGAAATCACCGCGATGTGTTTGTTAAGTTTAACAGGGACCGCGGAGGGGGAGGGGCTGGTAGGGCCGCGGCCCCACCACTTTTTAGCGCCCCTGCCCCACTTTTTGAAAATCAAATACTATGATTTTATTCCTTTTTTCGATTTTCAATATGAAAAAATTATTTTCAATTGTCAGCCCTCCCAGTTTTTACCTTGCTCCGCGGCCCCTGTTTAAGCTTGTTTTTTCGTAGATTTTTCTCAAGAACTGGTCTCGATAATATTTCGATACAATTTTGACCCACTACTTCATGATTTAGAGAGTTCTATCCCTTTACAGGTGATCAAAATAGAACTTGTTTAATGAAAACCGCCACAGAGGCTTTTAAAATCAACACACTTCTTCAGCGCGCTCTCTCATTTTAAATTGAAACTTAACAAGTCCCGGATGCGAGTCCCGCATGCGAGTCACGATAAACCGCTGTACACTACAGCGCCCAGATTATAAGCGCTAATCGAAGATTAAAATTTTGTACCCCGTTTTTGTATTTTGCCTTCCTACGCGTTGCTTAGGGTAACATTTTGAGTCATCATTACTGTACTTCGTAGTAAAAGCTCAATAGTATTTTGTAACCTTGAGTTGCACGTCCTTAGACGAGAAATCCTTGCTTAAAATTTGGCTTAATCCTGGGTTAAACTTAAACTCGAGGAACCGGGCCCTGGACTATACTCATCCCGATTTCAAACCAATTTACTGCACCAACCCTTCAAAGGTGTTGTTCAACCCCTTATAAGTTTCTGGAAATACTGGGTCCCACTTAACATCCCATCAAACAGTTTGGTATTTAATCCACATCTTACCTTTTTGAGTATTCAGAAGTCCTGAGTATTCAAAATGAAAATGTCCCTTTTCAGATTTCATGTGTAGCTCCTTCCTGGCCTAACCTGCGTAGAGATCTGATTATCAAATGTCTTGGAGATAGCAGTTTCAATGTCCGGACACAGGTAAGTTCGCACAAACTTTAAATCATGGGCGACAGATCTGGCACGAAATTCCAGCATAGACCTCTTCAGCTTGTATGTTTTGTTTCTCTGTGAATGTCCCAGGTGAATTTGACCTCTTGTCTTTTCAAGAATTATGGCTGATTCTGCGTACATATGCAAGCCAATAAGAAAAAGCTTGAAAGAAACAGAGATCTCTATAGTATTATCACATGACCTCCATTAGGAGAACAATACATGCAAGCTAAAGAGGTCTTTTTCACATGGTGAAAGTTACAAAATTGCTATGGCATTGTTCCAAACCAGGTTGGCGTCCAGGTTTAAAAAATGTTGCGAATAAAGATATCAGGACAAAAAGGCAGGGTAGAAAAACCTAAAGACAGGGAAAAAGCATAATCTCGAACAGCAGGATGGATTCTAAGGGGTTATTTTTAAAACGATTCAGAGAATTGAGGACTTCAATGAAACTTTTCAATGGGCGGAATTGCGAACGGTACAAAGCGAAGTTTTTCACCCATGATATCAATAGGTAAATAAAAGCTATAGTCGTGAAATTAGTAAATTATTTCTCGTGCAGTTTGTCAACAATACATTTGGCTTGTCTATTTACACTGACTGATCCCCTGAAAATCAAAAACAGTTTCCGTTTTCAGTTTTAATAGCGATAAAATTATTAAGCTCAACATTTTTTCTTTTGAAGCCCAGCAGCAAGAACTACTTTGAGGACTTTTGCAGCACTCTTGAAAGTGCAGAAGTTGACTTTATGCATCGAATTTTCAACGAACGATCTGTGCTGTTTCTTGGATGTGATCTTCATCGTCAAGACTACGAAAGCTTTTTTCAGAAATTTGCCGTTAATGCTAAGGTATATACTACTAACTGAGGTGACAAGTGAAAGTTTCGCTTCGTTTGTTCTTTTCCTTTCTCTGCATGCCTGACATGCCGTCTTCTCCTTCTTTTTCTTCGTTGTCGTCTTATTATTCTTCTTCTGCAGTTTAATGTCTTGGATTGAAATTTCGAAAGACATAACCAATAATAGAATCTGTACCAAATAGTGTTCCTAGAACTCCAGAACCGTAACGAAATCAAATACTTCAATTTGAAAACAAATTGGTTGACTATGACTTTTGGGGTCCACCTGAAGGGAAAACAAAAACACTGTGCGAAAACTTTCTTAAGTATAAACAACCCGTATTCACCCTGACCGACAACTGGGGTGAAGGATACATAACTATTTTCATTGCACTACATTAGTATAGAGTAGTCTCAAATACTTTGGCTTTCCATTTTGGTTTTCTATCGATACTATAACGCACTTCTTATCTCGTACAAAAAACAGTCAAACCTCGCTATTTCGAACTCGGTTAATTCGAAGTCCCCGCTATTTCGAAGGAAGATCGAATGCCCTTGGATTTACCCTTCCCCTTTATGCTTCCCCGGTTATTTCGAAGCCCCGCTATTTCGAACTTTTTTCCATTTCCCTTGGGACTTCGAAATAGCGGGGTTCGACTGTAATGATAAAATTATGATCAAACAAAGACTGTAAGTGTGTGACAATAAGAATAAAGATAGTATTTGGGGATAGAATGAGGAATTGGACTTGAAGGCTGAAGTAAAATCAGTCTTCGGGAAAGGTGCACGAGAGACTGTCAGAGGTATAGGGAAACTACTTTAAGTCAGTCAAGTCGATTTGTTTGTCAGTGTTGTAAATTCAACAGCTGTCACGGCAATATGAGACAGTGTATGCCTGTAGGAGATTAATTAAGACAGTGGATCCGTTTTTCTGTTACCACTTTTTAGATGATCCATTACAATTTTGAGACTTCAGATAAGTCGGACCTGGAAGCAAACGGAAATCTTCTCACTCTGAAGGTGACCATAAAGCCCTGGGAATTTGTGCAGTTATTGAGCACAGGAACTATTCAAGAGGCCGAGGACATTCAGCCTGGAGAGGTACTAATGCTTTGTATTTAAGTTATAGCTCTGTAGCTCAGTGGTTTAGAGCATCCAAACTAGAACTCGGAGGGTCGTGAGTTCGATTAGCCAAGCAACCGCACGACTAACTAAGAGACCATTGACTGGCAAATATCTTAGTTGCTGCCTCGTACCCTAATGTCTCTCCCTGGTCTCTCTATCCATAAAAAGTGCGCGCAAAGGAAGGCGGGAAGGAGAACGGGCAAGACGCCGCTTCACCTCTCATTTTCTCCTTCCCATGGTCCATTGCGCTTCTTCACCAGTCCTGCGTGTCACTCGCGTTTCGCGCTGGCCTCTGTGCGAAAAAAGAATCGCCAGCGGAGGAGACAATGGTTGGTTAACACAGTGATTCATGTGTGCTTTCATGCATTCTTAATTTCTTAAGGTCTATTTGCGATCTTACCTGAGAATCCAAAGGGACCAATACCTTCAGCAGCAACTTGCCCTGGAGAAGAAAGCATCCGAGATCATCTTTCACACCACGACTGTCACGAATGCCTTGTCCCCAGACGAATACTTTGAGCTGATCTCTCGTCATGCGATCGAAGATATGTTCATGAAAGATTCTTTTGGTAAATAAAACGTGTCACATTTCTGCTATTTTGCACAATATTGAGCTGGTTAACTATAAGGCAGACATTGAAAATTAAAGATGACTTCTTAATTAAGAAAATGTTTACTTTCTCGTGGAAGGAAAGTAGGTCTTATTCTAACCGAACTAAATCTCAAGACGTTTTAAATGACCATGTTCGTGTTAAAATAGTGACCTATTCTCCATATATGGATTAATAGAATTAGGACCAAAAAGTGATAGGGCTGTTTCCCGTTATGTTATTACGGAAAGGTCTCATGGAAAAATAGAATTCTGGTATCATTCAAACGACCAGCCCCTGTTAAGGTAGCATGCACAGGCAGTGGAAATGTACAAGAGCTAATTAAAATCCTTTTTATCCCTCACAGCTGCTCATTTAATTTCAAATGAAAGAAGACCCGATAAGAAAGCAGAAGGAGATATATTAAATTGCCAGGACATTCTAGTCATAACTACAATGATAAAGCTGAATGAAAGGCTCTCTTCGAACACTATAGTTTTCATTTTAAGCTCTCCATAGTCCATGTTTCCCTTAGTCTCAAAAAACTTTTTTGAATTTTTTTTAGGTGTTTACTCGCAGGAAAAAGTCCAGAGAACGGTAGATGCCATGAAACAAAGACGAGATAACCTGATTTGGGTAAAATGCCGTAAATTGCGGTTATAAATGTCACTATGATTATAAGCCAGTGGTTTATGATTTTGACACCAACTGTGACAATGCTCAGTTTAATTTCTGACGTAACTATGACCATGACGGTAAGAAAAAATTTAAATTGACTGTATTAGTGATTACAGCAGTGATAGTTACTTTGGCAGTGACTACGTAAATCAGGGCTGTCAAATCTTCCGGATAATCCGGGAGACTCCAGATTTTGAACCGTTTCTCTCGGTCTCCAGATTAGAGTCTGAAATCTTCCGGGTAATTGCCGAAGTTTGCCAGTCTTGTAGATTCGGCTTTCTGACAATGAAATTTCAAATATTTTGCGTTGTTTGAGCTATTTTACTGTTAACATCGAACGTTTCCTCACAAACTCCGGTATGGCATTGTAATATGAGCAATAATGTGATTGGTGGGAAGTAAACCAGTTGGGTCAAATGTTACAATTCCAACAACATGTATTTTCGCGTGTTATATTTTCACAAATGACGTAATGTGCCGTACATTATGACGTCATCTACCATCCCTTCCACATGAATTCTCAATATTTGAAGACGTGGGGGTTGACAGCCAGGTAAGTAGCAAAGTTTGACTGATTGGGATTGTGTTAGTGACTACACACATATAACAGCGACTATGACTGCTACTGTGAAAGTGGTTTTGAGGTTACTGTGACTGCAGCTGTGACTGCGGCCATGGCTGAGACCAGGAGCCCATAAGTATTAACTAATATCATTTATAAACTTGACACTTGGACTCTTGCCCCCCAGAAGACAAGTGGTATGGCGTGATTCTGTGGGTGTTGAGAGTTCTGGGTCAGGGCTTTAAATCAGAGTGCGCAGATATTTTTCATCAGAGTTTTCTCTGGTTGTTGCACCATACTGACGAGCCCCAAAAAGGGCGAAACAGCTGTCTGTGGCTACAATCTCGCTCTGTTTTGAGTTATTTCGGTGTCGAGTTGATGTCCTGCAGAGTTAATTTTCACGTAGTTCGATCAGCATTGCAGTATTCTGTTTGCAGAATTTAATTTGTCTACATTATTATTTTTGCTGATCAGATCTTTTATGTATTAACCTTTTTAGCTCCTAAAGACTCCTGAAGCGCAGACAAGGATCACTTGCCTTTTCTTTTACCATGGAGTCAAGAGAGAAATACAGAAGTGGAAAGAAGTCGAAGAAACCCCTTCTTTGCCTGAGGATGAAAAACAGAACATTTTACTGAAATGCAAGATTTCAGTTAGCAAATACGCAAAGGTTGCACTGCTGGCCAACTCATTTATGCAACGGAACAGCTCTATGGAAATTCGCATAGTTGACTCGGAAAAGTATGATGTGGAAAAACAGAGGGAGGTGGAAAGGGAGACGTTTGCCCTCATCCGTCTTAAAGGTAGGAATAGAATCCATGTGTTTTTGTAGTTAAGCTACACGTATACAACAAACCAGCAAACTTCAGATTCAAGTTGAAAATTTTCACGATAGAAACTGAGCAGATAAAACCGTTCAAAACAGTTCTTATGGATAAAAAAGTGAGTGAAACTACTAATTTATGCGTGGAAATAATGAACAGTAAACGACTGGTAAAGGGGAAACGTGGTCACGTGATACAAACTCGCGTTTGCAGTTTGACGCACGTTAAGCTTTAAAACGTCTCTATTAGCTGCTGTTGTTGCTTCCATTGAAACATAATCGTTCGATTTCCTAACTACTCTAACCTGCGATCAGGTGTTCTTAGTTTTCGGGGAAAGCTCGAAAATGAGCGGACGGTTTACACAATTACTGCTTTTTTATACCTTATTAACTGGATTAAACGCCTCAGCACGTTTATTAAATTTTTAGCGTTTACGATCTGATTCAGGAGCGATGTCTATTTTGGTGACATTTCTTTAATCACTGACAAAAATTACGATTATCATAATCATTTTTATTCTTCTAAGTTATGTAAAACAGAAGGATGTTTTAAGTTCAATGGTTTGTTTGTTTTTCTTTGCTGAGATTCGTAATTGCCTGGATGGGGTAGGTTACGAGGTTGTACCGAGTTTTTCCCTCCCCTAATATACGCCGCAATGTACTGAGTGGGTGCGCGTTTGGTGATGTTTTCTTCCATGACATGATGAATGTATTAATTAGTTTTAAAGAAATGTAAACCCTATAGCAACATTAGCAAAAAATGTAATCTTTGTCGTTATGAAAATATCAACCACCCATATTTTACTGCCAGCTTTTAATTTTAACGGTCAATCGTTGAAGTTGCCTGATGAGTGTGGTCCTATACAATTTCAGACCATACGAAACAGAACTGTCGCAATTAAATGATCGATGATTACTCCCTGAAGCCTGCACTCCTGTTATTATTAATAGTCAATGCTCTTCAATTAAATGAATTGAGCGTTATACGAAATACTTTCTACCCAGAATACAAGTATGAATTTCATACCGTATATTGAACTGCGCGAGATGAAAAAAATACAGAGAAGATTATCACAGTTAAGTACTCAACTTATGCAGTTGTGAAAAGAAAGCCTGAAAAAGTTCCGACTTTGTCGGTATTCAAAGCTCAATTTGGCTGCTTTTTAGCTCAATTAATTAGAGCTGTGCACCAGTATCGCAGAGGTCAGGGTTCGAGTCCCGGCAAGGCTGAATTTTTTCCAGGCTTTCTTTTCGCAGTTGCATAGGTTGCGTATTTAATTGTGATGATCTCCTCGGTATTTTTCTTCCATCTGCAGCATTTAATCGAAAGTGGCGTTTAATCGTTAGACACGGTAATATTCCCTAGGCCAGTTTTTTTTTTCAGCATTGTTCGTACTTATAAGAATCAGGAAAGGTAGACCATCGAGGTGGAAATCTCTTCAAAACTGACTCAAACAGTTGGATATTGATTCCGTTTTCCCATACGTTTATCGTCTATCTAAAAGGGATAACGTCTAGTTATTTTAGGGGGTTCTGTGTCATACTCAAGCCCCTTCTCCTAAAACAGACACTGGCTGATGCTTGGTCAACTTTATTCCAAACAGTTCCTTGTATTTCCTGTGAAAAAACTGCCCATTCCAACAGTTTGATATCTGGTGATCAGAAACAGGCATTTTCGGCAAAACACTCCACCACTCTTATTTCGTTAATTCTTTCTGAAGGACGGGTAATATAACTAGAGGGATAGAGTTTCTGCATAGTATAGTCAGCTTGTGTGCTAAGGCCTCCTTGAAAATAATGACCGAGCGCGTAGCGCGAGGTCAGCTATTTTTCAAAAGGCAGAGGAGTGAGGGCATTATCCGATTAAATACACCCTTCCATTGTTTTAGAACGAGCAAGTCATTATTGTGGCCTCCGAAGTGGAACAGTAGCTTATTATTCGTAATAATAACCTCCTGTTCCACCCCAGTGGCTTGCTCCTCCCATTTCTTGTAAATAATAACCTGTTCAACAGAATGAAAGGCGCATTAAAGCCACATCCTACATTTTACAGGTGGAACAGATGAAGCAATCTGCTACGCTGATCAAGCATCATCTCCAGATCAGCGAAATTTTGCTTCTCATCTCGTGAACATCAATGGGGAGGAGGTTGCGAACAAGCGAAAAGTCTACGAGAAAAGTCGATTGGTTGCCTGGAGTAACGAAGACTCTATCCTGAAACTTGCAACTACCATCATGAAAGAAAACTCTGAGATGAAGGACAGATTCGGCATTGACGCAATTGAAGTAAGCCTTTTGTTTTGGTCGTTTGTGTGTCCCTTTATCGCTAGCCCTTTTAAGCCGCGTTAAAATGCCTCGATTATCTGCGTTTTTGAGCGGCTCTTTAAATAGTTTAAGCACAGCCAGACCTAATCCACCAAACTTAGCATTTTCAAGCTGCGCGTATATTTCTCTTACGCCACTAATTGCAGGGCTGGAAGTGCAGTGCGGGGTTTGGAAAAAGTTAACGGGATTACATACGGGAATTGACGGCTACTGGAGATGCGGGATTCGCCAAAATACAGTGCGGGATTCAGAAAAAGTTAACGGTATTACATACGGGAGTTGACGGCTACCGGAGATGTGGGATTCGCCAAAATACAGTGGGGGATTCGGAAAACGTTAACGGGATACGGGAATTGAATGCTGCTGGAGAAGAGGGATTTGACCAAAATACAGTGCGGGATTCGGAAAACGGTAATGGGATTACATACGGGAATTGACGGCTACCGGAGATGCGGGATTCACCAAAATACAGTGCGGGATTCGGAAAACGTTAACGGGATACGGGAATTGAATGCTACCGGGGTAGCGGGGCTCACTAAAATTTGGGCACTGATGTGGGATGGGAAAGAAAATTATGTTCGGGAGAGCGATGAGAGAAATTCGGGATTCGGTATTTTCGTGATGCGTGTTCGGGATACGGCATTCTCGTGAAAAAAGAGTGGGAATACGTGATCAGGGCCTCCCAGTCTCTGTTATTGTCTGTAAGTAGCATCTTCTTTCCATGCTATCGTGATTGACGAAAATGGCTTTTAAGAAAAATGATGCGTTCGAGCACACTTTGTTTGGGTTTTGTGACATTGGTCAAAAAATAATAGCCATTTACTAAACGGAAGCGATGATTTACAGAGGCAAGAAGGAAAAGGTAAACCGTCCGAGACAAAAAGTACATTGAATGAAGAAGTTACCGAAAAGTACGAAAGGAAAGGGGAAGGCTTCTTAGTTTCTTGGTGGGTGTTGTGTCAAGAAATGCTATCTATCTTCAATTTTTAAAAAAAGCCTCTCAACAGAGCGAAGACTTGGCTGACCTGGAACAGCTGACTCGAATAAGCAACAAATTTAGAAGCGAGCTTGATGCAGGCTACTTTGATCGTATCGGCGAGGGAAACTTTGGTTACGTGTACAAAGCTCAAAAGGGCAAACAAGATGTTGCTGTGAAGATCTTAAAGAATAAAGAAGACAAGGATCTGATCAATAACTTCGAGAGAGAAGCTGATATGTTGAGGTAAGTTCAAGACTCTATTTGATAAATAACGTTATTAAATAAAAGTGGCAAATGTTTCGTTAATGTAGCGATGTCACGACTATTTCCAGGGGGAAAAACAAGCAATAACTACTTTCCGTTTTGCTGATTACTGTATTTATTCGATTAAGTGCCCAACCTCGAATAAGCGCCCACTGCTCCCTGCCCCCCACCAAGAAAAAAATTGACCTTACTGACAATAAGATTGAAATTTACAAAGTGATACTTAGCTAGAAACTTCCCACGCGACAATGTTTTCTGGTACATCTTCACGTTTTGTAATTATTTATCTATTGCTGTAAAATAAATTTACTACTTGCTGAAAATGGTGAAAATTTAGCCTCTGCGTTAGTGCTGCAGTGCTCTACCAACTGAGCTGTGAAGAACCATACACAGAGAGCAGGCCAACGTGTTAATTTCATCTTGGCCCGCAAAAAAGAAATGAGACGCGGAGGTCATGGGTTGAAATATCGTTGAGGCCCTTAAACGATTTCCCGGGCTTAATTTGTAATTACATTGCGATTAGAACTTCGATGGTCATGTCTTCATTTAGATTTGTATTCTTGGAGTTCCCATAATCTTCATTCTGTAATTCTGATCACTCTTAATTCAAAGCTCCTTGTTTTCTATTGGCATCTGTTCCATACGGCCTCAGAGGCAATTCGCTGATCAAAGTATATATTATTTTTATTCTCTGACCAGAAAAGCGAATCACCCAAATATTGTACAGGTCATCTCTATACACATCTCCAAGAAAAGTGAGTTGTCCATCGTGATGGAGTTTATGGCTGGAGGAAATCTCAAAGACCTGTTGAGAGAAAACAAGCAAGGAATGGGAAAAGAGTTCACAGTTACATTCATTGAAGATATCGGCTCAGCTATCGAGCATCTTCACTCGCTTGGTGTTATGCACAGGGACGTTAAACCGGAAAACATCTTTGTGAGTACTAGTTTAAATTTTGGTGCAGTCATTTTGTCTTTACTACTAACTTTTACTGGTGTGAGTTCCTACAGTAAACCAGAAATTTCTGTTTAGCCTACTTTGGGCCGTGTGTTGAAGTGTGCTCTGTGTGCATAGCACCCCCAAAACGCGACAATTGGAGTCTTGTTCTCCTGGAGACACGTGATATAGCGTGATCCGGTGGGTGTTGGAGTTCATTGTTGAGGCTTAAAACGGAGTGAGCGGGTATTTTCTCAGCAGAGCTTCTCTGTTTGTTAAGCTGTCCTGACTAGCCACAATTATGGCGAAACAGCTGGCTACAACCCCGTTCTGTTTTGGGCTACAATGGTGTCCTGCCGATGTCTTGCAAAGTTACTTTTCATGCAGTAGTACGATCAGAAGTTTGCAGAATTCAATGTGTGTATTTTGGTATATTTTTGCTGGTCAGGTCCTCTTTAGATCCTACGCTCTGCGGCAAATTCGTTTGCAGTCCTTTGCAGTTAATAGTGAACTTATGCAACAGGACGGGAGAGAAAAGAAGACGGTAAACCTTATGTGACAAGCGTGACAATAATTGTTTGAAATAACTTTTCGTCAAACTTCACTTTCAAACTTTTTATACAGATCTTTTTGTAAAAGACCAGAAAACATTGATGATAGTGAAGTTCACAACAAAACACACAACTAGTGGCCTTGTCACGTTCATCACGCACAAGGGATTTGCCGTCCTCTTCTTCCTGCCGTCCTGTTGCGTAAACTCACTAATGTCCAAAACTGTGGCCAGTGGTTGCTGTTGCTGCTCATTTCTATTGCGTTTTTCTGTGAGTAGGTGGAATATGATTGTCCAGGTGAGATAGTTCCGGGTGAGTCTAGTCCTAGTCAGTGAGGTAGGAAGAGTCCACAGAAATCATCCTTAACGAAAATTTGAAGAAAGGGCGCAAACATTTAATCATATCAGTTTGTTTCCTCCAAAATTTCTCATCAGTTGTCGAAAGATCATAAAGTCCTAAAGCTTGGGGACTTTGGCCTAGCCCGTGCTACCATAGGATCAAAAAGCAGGAAAACTGAAACTGGATCGTACCGCTATATGGCTCCGGAGGTAATGAATTCTGAGGGCAAGTATTCCGAAAAATCTGATGTTTACAGCTTTGGTAAGTATGGGTTACTTTGGTAACAGTGCAAGGTCTTATTTCGTTCCCTCCGAGGTTTTTTTGATTAGCATTTTGAAGGCCCTTGGACAGGGTCAGCGCCAACCTGCACGCAAGGAAAAAATGGAGCGTAACTGTTGGATTCCCTCTTTTCTCGCCCTAATTTGTTTTGCAAACTTTGAAGGTCTGAAATTTATGTTTGAGGTGCAGTGGGATCTTTGCATATTAAACAGTCACGTGGGACAAAACCACTTTGCTGGCGAGCATGAGACACAGTGGACAAAGACAAACAAAAACAACGACAATACGATGATATCTTATAACAAGCTAATCTTCCTTCTTGCAAGATCCCACTGCATCTTTTTGCTCTCGATAGAAATTTTTTTTTACCTCGGGGCTGTTTTGCTGCAAAGAGCCCATTCTAGCGTTTTAAATGTCTCTTGTGTTACGGCAATTTTTCCTGCTCGACTTTCTTAACGTTGCATGACTTTTTCCTTAAGCGTAAGGTTGCCAGGTGGTTTTTGCGTTACGTTTCCTCTTTGTAAACGCTGATCCCATCTTGAGCCAATAATTCTGTGGTCATCAAGAAAGAGAGAATCATGCCAACAGGTTTACTTCAAATTCATATGGAAAAAGCTTTGCAATTGCCAGCTAGGCCACTTCCACTCTTTAAAGAAATGTCACGTCCTTACGTAACCAAAGCAGTCATTCCTGAGTAGTATAGTAGGGATAAAATTAATCTTCTTTAATATCCTGCTTCGAAAGATGCACGTTTTGGTTTTAGGTTGTGCTTGGTTTAACCGGACTGATAGTTTTGAGCTATTTCAGGATTTTTATTGCCTGCCTAAATTTATAGAGCCGTTTGTTGGTTGATTGATTCGAGAAGGAATAAGCGCCAACTCGCATGCCAGTTTCACACACTGTATGCAAGTTTACACGGGACACTATGAGTATGAAACTTTGGTAACTATCAACGCGAGAAATTCTCGCCCGGACGAAACATAGAATGAAGATAACAAGATAATTCATTCTATGTTTCATTCCTTTCACAGCTTAAGATGAACTCAACAAATTGGCCTGATCCCATGTATAGGACTTCATAGCTCAGTTGGTAGAGCACTGCAGCGCTAACGCAGAGGTCATGGGATCGAATTCCGTTCAATGCTCGAAAATTTTTTTCGGGTTAATTTGCAATTGCTAAAATTGCAATTACCACTGCGACGATCATATCTTCATTTAAGTTTGTATTTCCGCAGTTCACATTATCTTCATTCTACATACGTTATGAAACAAAATGATCAACAAAACAACAACAAAATGATCAAATCTACAAAAAGGTTAACGTCATACCTACTAGACTACCTTGCGAGCGACATTTACACTCGCAATTATGCTGACTTTTCACAGGCCCCTTTTTAATTCTCCATCGATTCTGTTTCTTTCACAGAGACTAAACAGTGAGCTTCTCTTTTCTTTTTAGGGTTATGTCTGGTCGAGGTTGTGAGTGGCAAAACTGTCTTTGATGACATCGAGAATGACTTTAGGGTACTCCGTACAAAAGTCTCCGGCGGGAAACCTAATATTCCGGTAAGGTTGACTATATTTGAACCCTGATCCTTGCAGGTTAATCCTATAATTTTACATCACAAAATCGAGACTACTCGTGATCTTATACGGAGTTTATTTTAGGAAATTTCCGAGACACAATTTGGAGAGGAGGCCGCGAAGATAAGGAAAATAATAGATGAGTGTCTGAAGACTGAAGCCTTCCGTCCCGACATGCACATTGTGCTGACAATTCTTAAGAAGCCGTTAAACGAGATGGATGCAAGCGGTCAAAAAGGTAGGTACGTCGCGAGTGGGACCAGCCAGAGATTTCTTTAAAACTGTTGGAATACTCCTACGTAGTGATGCATAGCAACAGACGTTGTAATGGGTTACTGGTCCGATACAATCTTGAGATAAGGTAGATAGTACATTGGACCATGGCAATAAAGGGGAACAGTACTTCATTTCGCTGGCAGGGCTTACGATGTAACCGGCTAATTCCAGGCTTCCCGCAAAACAGCAAATGGTAAATAGTAAGCAGTGACTAGACTTGACCCCGGTTGTTCAAACATTGGACGGCGCTATCCCCGGGATAAATCGCTATGCAGCGGATAAGTATTAGCGGGGAACCAATTGCGTTGTTATCAAAGTGGATAAAGATTTATCTAGTGAATGGCGTTACTGATCTACCTTTTGAACAACTGGACCCTGTTAGCTCCCACTGTACGTTATTGGTCGTCCTGGAGTACATTTGGAACCCTGCATGGGGATCTTGTAGCAAAGTTAGATTCGCTGATTTCGTTCTCGTAAAGACACTTTAAAGAATGTGTCAGATTTAATTTCCATGAATTAGGCTATCGGTAGGAGTTGCTTCTGGGCTAGTAACCTTGACGATGCAAAAACAAAATCTGCTTTCCACCAAAACCTATTTAAAATTTATTTTAAATACGTAGAAAAAGTGAAACCTGAACGTTGCTTGGGAAAATATTTCACATTTTCAGGACGGACACGCAAGCAAACACACACATACCCGTACGAATAGGAATAAAAGGAAATAGCTAAAAGCCAGGTAGCAAATAATTGTTATATCGCAAAAGGGCATTTTGACCGAAATGGAGCCATCTGCGGAAAACTAACAGTCGTTAATTATAATGTAAAGGAGTTTCACTTTCTTTTCACAAGACGATTTAGTGAATTCGTCATTAGAATTCTATGTCTTGTATGAGTTTTATGGGCCTTGAAATCTAATATGGAATATTCCACAATCTTAGACATTAACGACTGAGCATGTTTCACCGCAAGCTTTGTGTAACAATTGTGGATCCGTTTTATTTGGGGTAAGAAGGAAGTAAATAAAGATAACGCTGATATTCATAAAAGACAACAAAAACGCCCCGTCTTTTAGTATATTCAAGCGTGTGATCAAACCATTTCTAAGGGTCAGACAGAATGCAACCTAAATACCTTAACACCTTATATCTATATTTTCCTCTAAACACACTTATATACTTAAATAAACTACGGTTTTCTTTATTTCTTAAAATGCCGCCTAGTATTTAAATTGCCCGTGGGGGGAAATCTCTATTCCTCATAAGCTCGGCTTCTCGGAGATTTTCCCGCCACAGTCACTCCTCCCAAGTAATGTACAAATTTTAAATTTAATGTTAATTAACCTATTTATTATCGTTTTTATTCTGCTTGTAATTCATTGTGTGTGGCAAAATAATAAATAAAATAAAAAGAATTTTGCTATATGTAAAGTGACAAGAAGAAAAAAACATAGTTTGAGAGATTTCAACAAGGCATAGAAGTGCTCATGGGATCTAGAGAAGTAACTACTCGCATTCAAATGTCACACCTCTATGTATTTCATGTCATTAGATGCCAAGTCCTCCGTATCTCCCGAAGGCCAATAATAATAATCAAGCATCTTAATTTTTTGTCATGAAGATGAGAGATGATTCAGTTTTGCGATTAAAGCCTTTTCCTTATTCGATCATTACAGAGTCTCAACAAGTTGATCCAGGGTCTTGGCGCACGGCTGATGACGACCGAGTGGAGCTGCGCGCTTCAGAGGCGGTTGGTTCACCTTACCCAGTTGTAGTGCAAGCCTTTAAAGATGGACCAGACCATCCAACCGCGGATGACAAACAAACTGAAGAGCAACCTTCTGGTCTTAGTAGCTCAAGGTATCCTCGTCTTGACCAAGTTATTACAGACGATATTGGGAATGTCAGTACTTCCAAATCTACAGAAAAACTTACAAAAAGCAGCAATCCGCCTTACCCTACAGTTGTACAGTCTTTCGAAGATGGACAGAACTCTCCATTTAAGGACGACAGGCGATCTGACGAAAAACCCAGCAATGAACCTTATCCTCCTGTTTCACAATCATTTAAATAAGATTGTGATGCTCTGGACTCATTCACAATGAAAGTGGCCGCTTAGTTTATATGATGACCTCTTTTGGTTTTCACGCCACAGCAGCTCACTTGCTCAGGTTAACAGATTTAGTTTAGAAACTGCTATCATCGAAAGTCTCATGACTAGGAGTTTCAATTTAAACGTAAGTGCTTGCGTCAGAGCTGGAAGACAATACGGAGATTACAGCCGGTTTGAAAGTAAATTAAGTAAAGAAAATGTAAATGACCCCCAGGAAATTAGGGTGGGTAATGTCCTTTTTTTAAAGAAAAATATGTTAGTTCCTTGCATTTGTGATGTATAAAAGGGGGAAAGCCGTTCGAGTAAATTTCCAGAGTGAAAGCAGATGATAAACGAGGCCTGAGTTTTTAGTAAATGCTTCAGCTTATGTTCTTTAGATTTCCTTCTTTGACTGTCTGGAAATAATTTGATCTAGGTCATGAACGGTTAAGGGATGAATCCGGATGGAGACAAGATATTTTTTTATGTGTTTGTCTGCTCCTCTATGTCAAAAATTTTTGCCCATTCGCGAATGGAAGTGCGAAGATATCGACCGGCATGGATATTAACGGGCTTAACGTGGTGCTCGAGAAGTTTTCCTTTGAATTAAAGGTCTTAAACAAACAATTGAACCCGAGGGTAGCCTGCGTAGCAGGGGCTTGCCCCGAGCGGGTACTCCTGGAAATTCTTGGTGAGGGTGTGCCGCTCGGTTCTCCAAATCCTGACCCTGTTTCAGACCAAAAAATGTAATTTTCCACACCCGAATTCAGACCAGACATCTAAAATCATACCCGTTTTCAGAGCTTGCCTTTAGGTAGAAATTATGTTATCATTACTTAGATTAGAGCTCAAACAAATGAATTCTTCAAATTCATTGCGAATTCGCATATTTCTCTTTCTTTCTTACTCATTTGGAATTGAAACGATAAATACGTTCATACACTCCGTAGTTCCCTCGAAAACCATACCTGATTCTCTGCGATTCCAGACTAAAATGGGCAAAGTGCATACCCGTTTTCAGACCAAAACGGCGCAAAATCCCTACCCGATGGGGCGGCATATACCTATATAGCTTATATAAGGGAGTAAACCCCCTCCCCCCCCCCCGGGGGGCGCTTACCAACGCGACAGTCAAATAATTGTACAGTTGAATAGTTAACTAGGGGTAAGCAGGGGTTACCCTGCGTAGCAGGCTTCGTAAGGGGTACGGGATTGGGAGGAAGGGAAAAAGAGAGGGGGATTTTTTTTCCTGCGCTTTTCTCTCAACTTTTCGCGCCTGCCACGCAGGCTAAGTAGTGGTAAGCTTCAAAGAGCGTATGGTTCCAAACTTTCCTTTCGCCTCAACGGACAAATGTAACTCATAAATTCTCAGCTGAATTACACAGTACTTCAACGGACAGAGATTTAGACACAACGATCAAATTTAACGCCTCAGAGGGCGAAGAAGACTTCGATTAATTGCATGTAGTAACGGAGTCGCTGGTTTGCTTAGCACCTTTCCCCTCTTTTCTTCCGCGACCAGCAAGTGAAGCTAGAGTCTGCAGTTTACGCCGAATAGAGGAATCTTTACCTGGTACATCACCTCTGCTGAATGCAAAGAGAAAAATGTATCCGCATGTAGGTGGATTTGATCGATATCTCCTCACCTCCATTTCAGGATTTGCGAATCGTCAAATAGAGTAGCCAAACACGCATAAATCTCTCGTCTTCCCAACACTGAAATGCTCTAGATAGAATATACCACAAACAATATAGACATCTAGAAAGTAAAAAAGGAAATAACTAAACGCTCACCTCGTTGATAATCTGCTTGCTCTCTTGGAATTTACTTGAAATCTTTCGATCTCTTCCACGTGCGTTTTACGTAATGTCATCGCACAGGAGTGAATACGCCGGATTCGACCGGATAATAAGAAAACCAATGGATTGCGCGTGCTTCTGATCTTATACCCGACAAATTTTGGCTTTTTCCCGCTATTGGAGAATAGTGTGCTGGCTCGTGTAAGGCTCGCCAGCAAAAAGTTGCCAGTTGTAATCTACTTAGAGAGCCGTGATCCTAAAGTTTCTTGTTCACTATAGTGTCAAGAAAAGTTTGCTTCATTTTAGTGTCTATCCTTTGCTTCATAAGAAAAAAGAGAACGTTTAGAAAGACGCCGAAATTATTATCTAATTATTATTAGTATTAGTGTCTGTGTGCAATGAATAACGATCTATAACCGACATACGTATAGCAAGAAATTTAAGGATATTAATGGTCACCGCATGTTTTTTAGGCGTAAACATTATAGTCTGTAATTGTGTGAACTTGTAAATTTTTAGCTAGTCAATAGTAGAACTGACTGTGTAGCATTGACTTAGAGTGGAAATAAAGACGTAAGAAAGGAACGTAATACAGTCCAAGTTGATCGAACTAGTGATTAGTCACTTTTGAAATGAACATTCCATATTTCAGCAACGCAGTGTGGCCTTTTAAAAGCTTCTTTAAAACGGGAAACAAAAACTTGTAACTTGCGATGTTGCGCGTTTTACCACCCACGTTCAAACCCGTTAACAACCTGATTTGTTGCAAGACAGGTTTGATGTGGATGATATAACGAGCAACATCGCTATTCAACTCGTTTTGCAAAAGTGTTGTAAGACAAGTTGCATGCTTTTTGTTTGCCCGTTTTTCCGTACCTTTAAGTATAACCCTGAGGAAGATCGCCCAGTTGTATCAGCGGGAAAAGTAACGTCAGTAAGTTCATAGAATGGAAGCGGTCAGTTTTGCATTAAAAAAAGACTAAATCTTGGTATTCCAGCTGCGCTATAGTCTAGAGGTAAGAGGCTCAGCAATTGAAAGAGAAGAGAGGAAAAGGAGAGAGAGAGCCCGGGAATGAGGTTGTATCACAGTCGGCATGTCGTTGACGTAAATAAAAACAGTACCGGCCCTAAAATGGATCCCTGAGGGACCCATTCCTGCACTTCAACCCCCTCTCACCCAGAAACGCCTGGTACTCAGGCTATTAGACTAAAATAGCGATCTTAAGTTTGTTATTACAAGACATTGTTATTACAAGACATAGATTTCCTATCAGCTCGCTCACAGAGAATCAAACTCTCTGAAGGCTGTGTATCCGAATGGGGCACGGTACCTTCGGGCGTTCCGCAAGGGACCAAACTAGGCCCTTGGCTTTTTTTGATCATGATAAATGATCTTCCCGTCAGTAATGCTTCTATTTGGAAATATGTAGACGACACCACAACATCAGAGGTAATAAAGAAAGGACAGCATAGCGAGGCTCAAGGTATTGTAAATGAGGTAGTAAATTGGTCAATCAGAAACAGAGTCAAGTTAAACACAGACAAATGCAAGGAGCTCCGCATTAGTTTTACATCAGATTGTGACTTTCCTCCAGTAGTCATAGGAGAAGAGTGCATCAAATTAGTTAAAGATGCTAAACTTTTAGGGGTTACTATCTCTGGTGACTTAACATGGAATGCGCACATCACGGAAGTTACTAAGAAGGCAGCTAAGAGGCTCTATTTTCTTGTTCAGCTAAAAAGAGCTCGTGTTCCACAGAAAGATTTATGCCTTTTTTACATCACATACGTGCGCTCCGTCATTGACTAGGCTGCGCCAGTTTTCCATCACGCGCTACCAGCCTACCTTTCGCAAGAATTAGAACGCGTTCAGAAAAGAACAATGCGAATCATATGTCCTGGTATAGAATATCAGCAAGCTTTAGCGCTTATGAGTTTACCAACGGTTGCGGAGCATCACCACAACATTTGCACGCGCACGTTTGAAAGCATAATGAGCGACCCGAACCACAAGCTAAGAAAGTTGTTGCCGCCTACATATAAGAGCAACTATAATCTAACGCACGCGCGCACTTTCACTTTGCCTCGTTGCAAGACAAATAGATTTAAGAACAGTTTTTTTATGGCCTCAGGCAGAATTGTAAATAATTTTTAGGTTTCTTATTATACGTTTTTAGTTTTAGCTATTACAATTATTGCCCATTTTTACAATTGTTAGTATAAATTATTATCATTATGTAAATACGCAATTCAGCTTATGCTGCAATGTATTTAATAGAGCACCTATCTATCTCACATTTCGCAAAACTGTATTTCACATTTCCTTAACAAATAATGTATTGAATCTGCAAATTACAAAATGTACAAAACCTAGGCGTGCCAAAGGGCTCATCCGTAACTAACTTTACTTTACACGTTTGGCTATTTAATTACTCGTAATCCTTGTTTTCTCTCTTTTGATGTTATGTTAAAATCCTTTCAAACTCCTTTATTTTCCTTTAAATATAGCAAAATTTTCCCAAACATGTTTTGCTTTCTCAAGACTTATCCTGTGGCAATGTTTACAAAAATCTTATTCTACAAAAGTTTATAAAAGGCAGCTCCAACTGTTATGTCTGCCATGTAAAAGGTACTACAGCAAAGATCCGAGAGTAAGAACCTGCATTTTCCCAAGTTAGCCTACACAGGTTCTTTCTTAAATGTTAATAATTAGCACAAATTTAGGCTACTTAGGTTCTTATTTTCCGAAGGAAAAATACATTGTAGCTATTCTGGTTTAAATGGTATTCAGTGTATTCCTTATATAAATTTGGCATACCATTTCATTTCAGTTGGAGTCAAAAAGCTCGTGGAAAGT